ATATTTTCCAATACCACCAACATTATGAATCTGAAGGACATTCCGCATCAACGATTGAACACCCGGGTCTACTTTACTTCCAAAAGTAATTGAAGACTTCCTTAAATTTATAGCTTGACCAGAGACTTGTTCATAGAGGTTGAGCATTTTCTTTAAAGTGATGGCTGATTTCTTATTTGCTAACGTAAAGAATAAGGAAGTAAATCCAAAATGTTTTAAGTTTGACCTTTTCTTTTTATTGTGAGTATTAAATCTAGAAGTTGGACTGAATCTGAAGGAATTGAAGGTTTCATTGAACTATAATATTATTTAGTTATTTAAACTCATTAGTTTATTGTATTACTAGATAAATATTTAAACTCATTAAATGTTATACAATAATTTTTAAAAAGATTATTGTATTACTAGATTAAATATTTATAAACATCTTTTAAAATAATTTAGTGTTATTCAATTTAGCATTTTTATTTTTATTAAATATTTTTGTTATTCAACTTTTAGTGGATTTATGATAATGGTGTTTGAAATCAATTTAATGGAAAATTCATGATAAATAATTAATTATGTATTTTTAAAAATAAATATTTATTTTGTTTATTTACCAGATATACACCCGAAAATTATTAATCATTATAATACGAAATTTGGAAATGTATTTTTCATTATAAATTTAAAATTTATATCATCATTTTTTGACTAATGAAAATATATTGTGTTGTAATCTATCTTGGGCTTCATTGGACGAATGAACCTCTTTAAATTTCTTCCAAAATTTATTCAAAGTGAGTTTGGATAATAATTTTTTCTTTTATTTTTTGTATTAGTATATTGTGGATTCCGTATCTATTTACATAACAATATCAAAATATTTGAGTTTTTTTTTATTTTTTGTTAAGTAAAGTTTTTATTTAGTTATTTGTTAGATTTTTTTTTTTAAACTACGTGATATATGAATGAGTTTACTATGTTTGTAAGTCAAGTTTTTTTATTCAATTTCTTATGTACGATGATTTAAGTTCATGAAGTTTAAAGGAATTATTTTCTAACAATTTATTCACATTCTTCTAAAATCTATAATATAAGAATTAATGCAAATGCATTAAAATCTTCGGCAAAACTTTTAAAATAATTTGAATGCTATTATTTATTTTTTCAAAATAACTCTCTTAAATCAAATAAATTCTGGAATTTAATATCACCCTCTAAATTGAATTAATTTATTTTCACTTTATGCCAAAGTATCAAATTCCCAACATTATCAATTTATAGAATTTTTACCATATTTTCTATTTTATTGTAGAAAATTATTATAAGTTTATTATTTTATAACTCAACTATCTGATTAAATTCAAAACTATTACTAAAATATTATGAATAAATATTTATTTAATTGTGGAAACGAAAAACTATAATTCACTAATATTACACTATCAAACATAAGAATTTTATTTTTTTAAAACTGCAAAAAAATAACAAAGTATTATTATATTTATAAAATCTAACAAACAAGCATATAATATTTTTTAGAAAAACTAATACTGCATTAAGCAAAGAAGTAAACGTTTGAATCAAGCTCTTTCTTTTGTCGGGTTTCTCTCTTCTTGTCAAAGTTTGGATAATATATTTGATCCCATTCCCATATTGTTCCCATGCATCATTCATATCATCTTATTTCAACGGCAATAGTGGTAATAAGTAGAATTGATATACAAGAGGCAACATGGGATATCCTGTAGAAAAACTAGACAAGATTTTGAAAAGCAAATCATTCACTCTGAACAAACTAAATACAAACAACCCATCCTCTCCTGTTTCCCTCATAGCTATGATGATGAAGTGATGCCATTTTGGAGTATCCTTTCCTCCTCTCACTCAAGTTCTTTGAGAAAGTCGACGTTGTCCACAAATACCTGTAAAAAGGCCCAACAAAAGTCAGTAACTCAAACACGATTAGTCAGAGCTCTTTCCATTCAAAAAGATGAATCTCATTCAACACCAAAGATCTTACCGACTTCCAACCGTCCGGATCCAGACACGCGGTGATCTTAGTGTTTATACCTGGTAACGGACCAGGCTCCCTCATGATCTTCCCACCAAAGACTTTCACAGCTTCTGCAGTTTTGTAAACATCATCCGTCCCTATAGCAATCTGACAACAATTTCTTTTAAACAAGTTATAAACTATAGCTAGCTTCCAAAGAAAAAAAAAGAAAACTATAGCTTACCTGAGCATAAGCATTTCCTTTATCATATTCAGTGACACCATAGTTATATGTCAGCTCTAAGACAGGAAATGTATCTTCTGGACCATATCCCATCATAGCTATTGTGTACTGCAAATAACTTATTAAGGTGAGTGAGTTTATACAAAACCAACAAACAAACAAAGTAGGCTCTGCAATCTACAAACAGAACTGAAAAGACCATAATATATATATAGCAAACGGAACCATAAGGGTGCGAATTAGATCTTTGAGGCATTGCAAGTTACCTTGTACTCTGGGTTGTCTCTTGTGCGCAGAAGCTCCATTCCAAAAGCCTATAAAGATAGAAAACACATATCATCAGAGAATAACAATGCATTCTGATCAAAGATCAAACATTTATTGCTTAGGCTAATATAAACTCTTGACATCTTAAAAACAATTTCTATAGGACTAACCTTCTCATAGAACTTAATGGACCTATCGAGATCACCAACACGGAGCATAACTTGGCAAAAAGGTTCAGGTGTAGGATCTCTTTCCAAGAGTTCAAATTTGTAACCATCAGGGTCTTCAATGAATGCAATCACAGTTTTGCCACCTTTAACAGCACCAGGCTCCCTTGTTACTTTGCCTCCTTTCGCTTTTATGAGCTCCACAGTTTTCGCCACCTTTTTTAAACCAATAGCAATTCAATAAACTCAATTAATTATCTTGAAGTTTAGAATTTCTGCATATAAAACATAAAACTTCTATCTCTGTGAAACATTTTTTTTTCTTCTAAAATATCTTTTTTTTATCAAATAAAATCTATCTTAGTGGAAAGAGGAGTAAACAAAAGGCTCACATCGTCAACAGCAATACCAAAGTGACCAAAACCTGCCCCGATGTCATACTTGTCAACTCCATAATCTGGCAAACAAAATTTACACTTTATATAAATGCATAATCTTGACTTTGGGGGTTTGATAGAGATGTGACATACTATAAGTGAGTTCAATGACAAAATGTGAATCTTCAGGACCATAACCAAGGAAAGCATTTGTATATTTCTCTTCTGGTATGTCACGCTTCCGTAGAAGCTTCATTCCAAGACATTCAGTATAGAATCTGCAGCGATTAGTTAGCTTCCAGTTAATATTATTGCTTTAGATATCAATGTAAGTTCACAAGACAATCAGTACTACTTTATGGTCCGGTCCAAATCGCCGACACGGTAAACGACATGAAGCATTCTTCTGTTATCATCTTTGACCCATTTGAGAAGATCATCTTGAGTAGTGGCTTGAGCTGTGTTTCCAGAGTCAGTTACTCCTAAGCAGCAGCTTACACCTCTTCTCCAAAGCTTTGTGCTTATAAGATTTGATTGAGGAACATCTGAAAAAATACAATTGAATCAGCAAATGAACGAGAATGATAATCCAAAACGTGAAACGGAAGATATAAATTAAAAAAAAAAAATGATAGTTACGGGAGGAGACATGGGAGAAAGAAAGGGAGGTTCGAGAGAGGAAGGAGACGGGGAAGCGAGGAGATGCGGAGAAGAAGCCCAAGGAAGGTCTGATGGTGGTGGAAGCCACGGGGATTAATCTCACCATCTTTCCTCGAGAATCCAAGGAGTATTTTTGTGTAGGTGTCACTTCACAGTCTCCTCGAATCTGTGATTCTGAACCACGCGGTGGGTTACCTTTGCTCTCTGTGTCGGAGAGAGGAATTGGAGCCAACTGTGTTTTTGTTTATTTATCTTCCTATTTTGTAAAAATATATGATAAAATGGATCAGTTTTATCAATTTTAGTTTTAGCACACTACTTTAATAGTATTTTAGTTATACAACACTTTTTTATAAGTTAATAAATATGTTACCAGGTTATGAATTGTAAATTATATGAATTTATGATTTTAGTAAATTTGGGTAAATTTTATTTTACTGAAAATTTGATATCATTTTAAAATTCACCTTTAAAGGACAATAGATTTATTAAATACATTTTATTTGTGATGAAAAAACTAGATTAACCCTTTTAAATCATTTATTAAATTCTAATAATAATTTTTAAAATATATAAATTCAGTTTTACCCATTAAATAATAAATCGTAAATAATAATCACTAACTGTCAACTCCAAATATTAAAAAAAAGTATATTTAAAATAGTGAAAAGTGGTAGTCAACTTATGATATTTCAAATATTTTTCTATTTTAAGTTTTGCTCCAATAGGTATCTTCAGTTTTGCCTATAAAAATATTCTAAATATATTTTGTTATTAATACGTATTACTAATTATAATACTGTTTTATATTAAAAATTATAAATTTGTCAAATAAAAATGTATAATAAAACATCCAAAATTTATAGTTTTCCTGATAAAATATAAAACAGATATCTAATATTCTTAGATGTAAAATTAAAATTATATGAAACGCAAATTTAAAGTTCAACTTTATAAAAAAAAAACTCAGCAGTGGAATGAGGTCGTGATTATCTATCAGTACTATATTATTCATATCCTCTTTTTTCAGTTTTTGACATTCTCTCATAGTAAAATGATAACCATTGAAAAGGATTTTCTCTGATTGGAGATGATCTTCCTATTCCATGTTCATGAATCCTGATAATTTATTCTTAAATCTCTTATCTCAGACACAAAACAATTGAAACAAACAAACAGTAATTATAAGAATCGAAATAAAATGTTTACCTTAGTAGATAAAATTGTTTTATGTTTACAAAAATGGTATAGGTGCGAACAATGGCTAAATTCAAAACTATGTACATCATCATTTGTACATGGTAATTATTAATTTACTAATTACTAATTAAACACTCACACGATCTGAATCCATTCTCCAACGCTGGGGACACCATTGTAGACGGCATAGATAAGATAATAACCAGGAGGAGCAACGTTTCCACTCGGTGGAGCAACGGCCTGAATCTGATGAAAGTCACCTTGCTCCTTCTTAACATCAGCAATACCCAACATAAGCAACCTCATGTTCATTGACACAGCATGTGTAGTAAACGGTGGTGCCAACATTGTAACCATGACATTCTCTTTAGCCACATTCGGTTGTTTAAGCTCAATCTTCACGTTAAACATTTGTCCAAACTTGATCTGTTTCGGTGTGTCGGCGTGCACAATCTTTGGTCTCATATTGGCAAGAGCCGGGTCGAGATAAGGCGGTGAGAATTTCTCTATGCGGAGTTCTGTCGGGAATGGAACATCGTACCTGTAACCATCGTTGGTGTTGCTACCACCGATAAGAACTTTACCGTCAGGAAGAGCGAGTGCGATGGAATGGTACATGCGTGGGATAGCGGAAGCAGCTAGCTCTTTGAAACGTTTGCCAAATTGTTTGTTTGGTGAGTACAAGAGCGGTGTGAAGTTTGGGTCTTTGGCTAAGCCCCATCCAGATGTTCCTTGTTTCGCGCCGTTAACTATTAGTACTTCTCCGTTAGGGAGGAGAACTGCGTCGCTCATGACGCGAGACATTGGCATCTTCTCTATTTTCCATGCTGGCTTTCGACCGTTGAGGCTTAGCCTTGCACAATCATTCAAGGCCGGATCAAATTGCTTTAATCTGTCGGCACGGAAGTATCCATCCTGTCTGGCCCCGCCACATATAAGTACGTCAGCGGGGATGACAGGAGGGTTCTTGACGTAGAGGCGGATAGGCAGAAGAGCCGAGGAGGCGGAGCCTGGGTAGTTCCGGGCTCCGCCAGGGAGCTGAGGGAACTCTTTGACGACTTTATTCGTTTTCGGGTTAAGAAGGATGGACCGATTGTTGGCGAACATGAAGAGGTTTCCATCGGTGTTGAGCCAAATGAATGGGTATAGATTGTTTTCTTCTGGATCAGTTGTTTGTTTAAGAAGATGCGAGTCGTGGAGTATCTTGTTGTCCATTCCTTCAGGGAGGATGTACTCGTAGTTGAGAGCTTGTCGGCCTCCAACAACGATGAAAGTTCCATCAGGGAGAGTGGCTTGTGTTGAGTACCATCTCGGTGCAGCTAATGCCTTTGGATACTCCACCCAATTGCAGTTGTCGCATGCGGCTAGGTATCTTGCTGTGTTTGCTCCTCCTTGGAACCCTCCAGTGCTTACCAATGTCCCGTTTACGGTTAGACCTCCTGACGAACACCATGTGTCCGTTTCAAGCTGCCATAATAACAAGGTACATATTCAAGTATGTGTAAATGTTTGCTTTTGCACAATATCCGGAATAAATTACCAAAAACATTGGTGTAGTTTAGGATCAAAAATAATTTTACATATTCCTTCCATGTTTGTATCTAAATTTTTTTAAATATTTTCTGTTTCAAATTAGATGATGTATTCAACTATCATTGTAAAACTTACAATTTTTTATGACTATTTGTATTTTTTTCAGTTATTGGTTAAATTATATATATTTAAATAACTGACATTTTTTTTTAAAGTAGTAAGATTAACTATATTTTAATGCATAATCTTAAAACGTTTAAAAAATAAAGTATATTAAACAAGTAGTATTAAAAATAATAAATTGTAATTTTGTTTACCGATAGAGGCCTGATGTGTGCGGTATTAATATCGATGAGAACAGAGTGAGCCCAACAATCTATTTTATTATGGACATGGTCAAAAACGTGACAAGGTACGCCTGGAGGGAGCTTGATTTGCGATATTCTCCAAATGGTTGCATCGTAAAACTGTACTTTATTGATCAATGGGAGAAGAATAGCGTGCATGGCCGATACGCCTGAGTTCTGCAAGAATAACTCCCATTGGCCTGGCCAATTCATCTCAGGACCTTGGGCGACGGCGCCACCACGGCCACCACGACCACCTCTACCCTTACGGTTTCCTGCTCTCTGTGGTTGCATCATCTCGGCGGCGGCTTCATGTTCATGGCTGTTCCCACTCTCCATTTCATCCGATGGACCAGTATGACCTGAGAAAGATGGTTGAGAAAAGACTGCTAATAAAACGATGATGGATAGTTTCCATAATAGTCTTCTTGAGGTTCTCATTTTTTTTTTTACTTTGTTTTTGTTGTTTCCTGTTTAATTGGTTGATGAATGTTTTTGAAGAATAAGTTGGTATATTCAGGAATTTATAAGTTTTATGTTTGTTTATTTTTGTCGTTTTTGGAATGAGAGGTTAGCAAGTTATTTGCTCTACTCAATGTCTTTTGAACGGTGGTTCCGTAAGCATTAGAATGACTGTTTTTATGTTATAGGCTAAATATATTTACATGCGTATGGTGTTCCCGTTTTCTCTATCGATTTTATTTGTTTATGCTCGGCTTATTTTTCTTTCAAATGGTTGGCTAGGCTTTGCGCACATATATACTTTTACAATCAAGCTTCTCCAACACTTTTTTTAAGTGGGTATCTACTCTATTAAAATAGAATCATTCTTTTTATCTACTGATACAAGTTGTCATTTAAATTTGGACTCTTTCTAGAATGTTACAAATAATAAGTCATATAATTGAATGAACCGTATTACTTAAATTAAATCAACACAATTAATGTAAAGAGACGACCTTAATGTAAACTACCTTCAAAATATGGTAGGTGTCTATGTGTATACCGAAAACACATATTTTCTCCTACAAATATGGAATGTTCTAAAAGAATATATATCATCAAAATATGGAATATGGAAATCTACTAATTATACTTAAATTAAACCAGTGGTTATTTATGTAATATAGTTGGGATTACTTTTATTTTTTAAACAAATTATATAGTTTGGTTTTTGGGCTTAATATTAAGAAAAAAACTCTAAAAACATTGAATAAACTTTTCACCTTAAAATATCAAAAAATCAATTATTATTATCAGACCCAAAAGGTATTTAATATTTTTAACAAAACAAAATTATCCATTATTAATCATTTATTTAAATCATGTACTTTAAAACATGTTAATATATTTTTTAATTTTAAATAACAATCACTTTGTTTTGATAAATTTCAATGGTAAATTTTAAATAATTTATTGTTTTGTTTTTCTTAAATAATTTACTGATTAAAAAAATGTAAAGCAAAACCAAAAAACAAATAAAAAACTAAAATCCAAAACCAAAAGCTGAAAACACATGTTATCTTTTTTTGATTTGTTTATTTACAAAATAAACTATTTCAATTTTTTTTTATAAAATTTGTTGTCATCTTTTCAGTTTTGAATTAGATGTTCGATTATTTGAGATTTGTTTGTTGGTAATATTAGTTCAAACTAACTCAGCGGGTTTAAAAATTAAAAACCCAAACCAAAAACTGAAAATGAAAAGTGGAAAGTTAAAAACTAAAAACCAAAAACCAAAATCTAAAAATAAAAACTGAAACTAAAAACTAATGAAAAATAATCATCACCACAAATTTTGGTGAAATAATTTTATATCAAAATATTCTTTAAACTAAGACAAAAACAAATTATATAAATTTTTAATCATAAAAAATTTCCGCGCTTTCAAGCGCGGGTCAAAATCTAGTTTCACTCATTAAAACATACTCCTTCCGTTTCAAAAAAATGAACAGTTTAGAAATAATTTTGTTTCAAAAAAATATATGTTTTACATTTTAATATATAATTTAATGAAAATTATAGATTTAAAAAAAAATTAGTTATGTTTTTTAAAATTCTATTGGTTAAAATATATAGGGATTTATTTTTAACTATAATAAATGATTCTTTGGTAATCAAAATTTTATGTTGTTTTCTTAATATGTGTGAAAAACTAAAACATTTAACTTTTTGAAACGGAGAGAGTAATCAGAAAGAGATAAAACCAAATTTTAAACAATAGACTAGGACAATTCTATTTAATTTTGATTTAAAACTTTAAATTATTATAAGAATGTGTTAAGTATTTAGAGTTTTATCAAATATGTAATTCATTTTTAGATAAATTTGTGGTATTTATTTCTTTTAATTATTTATGCACCTTGGTTTTGGTGTAGAGATCAAATACGCACGTCACACCTCTATTTGTCATCTTTGTTTTTTTATTTCAATTTTTACAAGAAAAAACCATTTAAGCTTTTATAAGTTAGCCACAATAGAGGGAGATCATTTACAAACACTCACAACTAATAACAGCTTTTCCCACTTGTTTTCTTCTTCTTCTTCAATGCATCACTCTACAAAACTACTTCCACTCATAAAACTTCATAAATCTACAGACTATTATCATTATTTAATACCTCTAAATCCACAGTTCATTTTTTTAATCTATCTGCCTGTCTTTCCCTCTCAAGGCATTGTACGCAAATTCTCGTATCGCATATCCGCTATGTCCAGCAACACATCATCCTCCTCCTCATCACCACCATCTGTTCCTAATGTCTCTGTTTTCCCAAGCTCAGCCTTCAAAAACATAAAAGATTCATTCAAAAAACACCTCTCAAACGCATTCATCACTCCCACACTGACTATTAGTTAACTAGTACTCACCTTTGTCTGACAGTATCTCTCGAGCACGCGCTGATACTGCTGGCGAGCCTCTTGAGAGTTAGTCATTGACAGAACACGAGAGAAAGCCTCGTTCACTGCTCCGTCTACTTTCTCCTTGCGAAACACTTTGAGAATGTCTTCATCTTCACTCTCCTCCTCTCTACTCTCTACGTCTTGCCTAAACCCTTTTAGGCCAACACCTTTTCTTCTCCACCTCAGTACAACCTTATCTAGAATCCCTACTGCCCAGCAGATTACCTTGTAATGTTTCCTTACTTGGTAACCTCTAACATAAGCCTGCCAAAAATAGAAAGATCATAAAGAGCTGCAAGGAGACATCAAAGGGTATGGCCTGAGCAAATAAACTGAATCCATAAACTCAAACCTAATCTGACCCGATAAAAATGAATCCCAACCAAACTGAACCTGACATAAATACCGAAATGAACCGAACCGGGAAAACCAAAAAAATCACCAAATGAGAAACAACTATAAACATAGTAAAAACTGACTGAACCGAACCAAAACCCGATTGGACACTCGAACGCCCAAACCTAACCTAGTAATGAGAAACAACTATAATTATAGTAAAAGCTGTTAAGATACCTGTATCTTCACTACTTTTTGACGCTTAGCTAGAAACTCTTTTCGACCTTTATAGCCACGGTACTTCTTCTGGATAGACAAAGCAGCTGAATTATAGTTCTTCACATTTCCAAACGCTAGCTTCGACATGGCTGCGATCCCTTCAATATCTGCATAGATCCCATACTCTTGATAGCAAGCAGCCATAGCTGCTTCCCTCTCTTGTCGCTTTCTAAACGAATGTGCACGAAACGCTGCTTGGATTCTCGCAGCTGCTTGAGCTACGTTTCTCAATGCAGCACGTGAATGTGGATCATCATTAACCGGAGGACTTCTTCCTGAGATGGAATTCACTATCATCTCTGCTTGCACTTGAGCTGAGCCTAGAGAATGTTCTGTTTCCTCGAGTGTGAGCGAAGAGAGATGGTTTGTTAATGCCATCTCGGATAAGTAACCTGCGAGACCCTTGTGGCCGTTAGAGGAAGCTATTGAAGCTGCGGTTTTACCGGCTGGGTCTTGCGCATTGGGATCAGTCACTGCACCAGCTGATGCCCCTGCAGCTATAAGTGCAGCCACCATTTTTTCTCTAAACACAGTAAAGATAACAGAAACGGTTATTAGATTCAGATGAAAGCAATCTTTATCTCATGATGCTAATACAATCCTTCACACTACTCAAATAAAAAAAGTTGAACTGCTCACCTTCCATATCGTGCAGCCCAATGAAGAGCACTCCAACCATTACTATCACGAAAATCCACACTGACACCAAGACCAAGAATTGGATGGAGTGCCCACTCAAAGCCTAGGCCTGCAACCATATGAATAATACCTTGTTCTTTCTTTGACAAAGAACAAGATGTTTGATCTTCATCGTGGGATCTCGAAGACAGCCACGCATCTAGTTTATCTTTAAGTAGCTCTTGTAGAAGCCAATCAACTGTATTTGATGGTGTTGCAGTGTCATCTAGAATCGTATCAATGATATGACTCCATTCATCATCATCAGCTTTGATATTCTTCAACTTACCAATGCCTGGTTCTATGGTACTTCTTCTATCGGATAAAAGTGTTTGCACAAAGCTTACGAGTAAGAAAAGCTGATCTCGACTGCACTTACGGGAAGATATGTCAGGCTTGTCACGATACTCGAATTCTCTTGTTTGACTACAAGAGAGTCCATCTCTAGAAGTAATGCGTAAGTTCACTTTGCCAGGGAGAGATGGAGGGACTTGGCATCGTATAACACCTTCTTTGATGATCTCAAAAGGAACTTCAACGCTTCCAAAAATGCAAGACCACGTTGGATCACAGAGAAATGATCCAATGATTATCACCTTTGTAGTTTCATTCGCGTAACCCCACTCTGGTGAAACGTCCTGGATAGTAAACTTTTGCATAATCTCAGGAGCTCCTAGCTCAGGATAACAAGTAGGATGTTGAAACGAACCAAGTTCTTGAGGCAACAACAATGTATCTGAAATTTCAACACAGCTATTAGAACTGAACGAACGCTAAACAAGTCATGAAGCCTAACAGTATTCACACATACCTTGGTCAGCCTGGTTGCTGTAACTCCAGTTAGAATCCTCCTGCATTCCAGATAGCAATCCTTTCGCTGAACTTGGTGTGCTTCCATGCTTTCAACAAAACAGTACATGAACTCCTCGATTAAGAACTTTTTTTACTAATTAATAAACAGATACAAGATAGTCTTCCTTCCACATTTCATTTAATTATACGAGAGAATTACCTCAGAGTTAAGAGCTATAGAAACCTCACATGCCTCCAACACATCTTTCCAAGATTCAGACTCTTGATCACCACTCCCTCCAGTACCACCTGTAATAAAGAATGCTTGTTACTCTTCCTAATAACCTTATCCAATACCAAGTATCAACAATATCATACAGAGATAAACAAGGAAGAAAGCATGACAAGACTACAAGAGCAGAGAACGAAATTAAAACCAATGATTTATAAATTTGGACAAACCTGAATCATTCTTTACGAGTGTGAGATTGTTAGGATGATAATCAGCTCCAATATACCCTCCATTACATCTCACTAGTCTGTTATTCTCAGGTCTCTGATGTTCACTTTCTGGTTGAGTAAGGTGATTGATGTCCTCAGCACAGTCCAAAGATAAGAGACTATCCAAACTTTCGTTTTGACTGTAGAGTGGATCTCCAGTATTAGCATTATACTGTGCTCCAACATAACCTCCATAACATCTTTCTAGCTTGTTATTATTCTCTGGTCTCTGATACACAGCTGCTGGCTGAGCAAGGAATTGGAGACTATCCAAACTTTCGTTTTGACCGTAGAGTGGATCTACAGTACTAACAATATCATCACCGAGACTAAGTTGTTCCTCAAGCCTCTTTATAGCCTGCCTATTTTCAAGCTCATAAGAACTTCCACTTCCCTCCGGGGTCTCAACTCCGTTACTATTGAAGAAAACTTCAGAGTTAACCTCTGCAATGCCTGGAGAAGTAGAAGTAGAGACACCATTGTAGTGATTGTAGCTTGTATTCTGAGTACCAATGGAGCTTGGACTTGAAAAGAGAGTGGAAGCATTCTGTGAGAACTGCAAAACAGTTCCACTAGTTTGTCTTCCCTGAAAGGATAAAGCCAACCAATAACGTTATAATACAACGAAACCAAACTTATGGTGTATACAAGTATAGCTAAGAGGAGAAAGTCACCTCTCTAAAGTCACTAATATCCCTGTAATGAACAAGGACAATATGGTCGTACCCCCTGATGTCAAGAGCAATAAAACTTAATGTGAGAAAAACATTTAAGTATAAGAAGTATTAGAGTATGAGTGGGAGCACTCACGGATCTAGCATCCAGTAGATACGTCTCTGAAAATTAGGGTCCTGCTCTCCATGGACATAATAACAACTCAAAGCCTCAACGTTACCCACCTGTTCAAAAAACACACATCAAAGAAGTCTATTAACAATAACAACCTTAAAAAAAACATATCTAAAGTTGCAAAAGACAGTATCTTGGACTTGAATAATCTTAGCCACTAGCAAATAAACAACCTTAAGTCGTTCGTGAGCTTCAGAGATAGCTCTACCATCCTTCTTTCTCTTCCATTGATGACCATCTTTACGGAAGAATTTAAGAACTCTTCTATTGAATAGATACAAAGATCCACCTGAGACAAGAACCCTTGTATCAATTATCTATTCATCTGAAACCAGTAAAAGCAAAGTCAAAAACTTACTAGTAGGGTTTTGAGGTGGGGTATGTGTTAGCTGATAACGTTCATGATTCTGCAAAATGAAGTGAACCTCAGGGGGTTTCAACCAACGACTCTGAGCTTCTTGGTACAGAGTATTAATCTCGTATTCTAAAACACACAAAACAAACGAAAGGTTTAGCCTTTTAGCCATCAAAATATACTCTTTCTGTGTTGAGAAACTCACCAGACTGCATAATGATTTGGGGATTTTCAGACGAGTTTGAAGTAGTTTGATCAATCAATCTTTCACGACACAAACATGAAGGATCAGTTTGGTCTTCGTTCCTAGGATGTTCCACAATGATTGCTTGAGATAAGGATCCAAACTAAGAGAGAGAGAGAGAACAGAGAGGAGTCGGTAAAGAGTTATTAACGATAAAGAAGAAGATTTTTTAAAAATCGAAGGAAGGTGTAAAAAATTGACTATGACTGAGACCAATTTCTTCTGGGAACAGCAGAGGACGCTTCCGACAGAGAGCCACGGAGATTGATGTTTTAATGAGTGATCCTCTGTGGCGACACCCATGTTATCGACGCGAGACTATTGGTTGATTAATTAACGATTCACACGTGTCGCACACTGAGAGATTCATTAATTAATCCTTGTCAAGCTGTCCTTCGTGCAGTTATGGAAGCAAATTACAAATCAACCCCCGTGGCTCGTTTGACTTTAGCTATGTAGAGAGAGACTGGAGAGCACGACGACAAAATATTAATTCAACTTGCTATTGACAATTTTGTAGGGTATAATTGTCATTAATCGTTATATCTAATAATATATTCTTTGGCCGACGTTACTAAACTATGGATGATACACTTGTCCGGTGGACAAAGAGCAAATATCCAAATTTGTGGTGCTATTCATAATTAATTTCCATCTATTTAAAATGAATAGTTTTTTAAAAAAAAATTGCATTTGTTTAGATCTCCCGTGTTCAGTACGAATATTTGGTAAAACTTAATTATTTTGAAGTAGGATACTCACTTTAATAAAAGTAAAAGAATTAGATTTAAGAAATAACAAAACGTTCCAGAAGAAAACAAAGAAAGAATAGGAATCAAAATTACTTTCAAATCTAACTTTGACAACACAACAATTAAATTAGATGAAATTATTACTGCATGATGATTTGAAGTTGGGAACTTGGCTTATTTTAATATTCTAGGCCATGTAAAGTTCAGCCGGAATCTTGAGTGACTCAATCCCTCTAAAGTTTGATTGCTAAACACACGGGACTGAGAGATACATACTTCTTGGTGCAAAACTCCAATGTTTTCTTTCTCAAAAGAAAACTCGAATGTTTTATGCCTTAATGATCTCTTGTTACTTGTTAGGTTGGACTTTATTATCTTCTATTTGGGCCTCCGTTAACATCATCAGACCAAAGAAACAAGCCCACTAGCCCAAACAGAATCGTATCTAACATATGTATTTTAAAGCATATTTTTACTGCAATAAAAAGGGAACTTTAATTGTGGAAGCATCGTATCCTATTAGTTAAAATTAAAAGTTTTTACACCAGGTTTGGGATTCGAATCCCAGATTATAAAGTTTCTACACCTATCGCAAAGCGTACCATTAGAAATAGATCTCATAGAGTGGCTCAGGATGATGCAGTTAGACGTGAATCTCATATGATATCTTGGGTTTTAATTTTTGGGAGATTATGAGCAATATATAAATATATGAATATTGTTGGGATTGTGAAAACTCATGTCCAACTCTTATTATCTGATTAATTTTAGTTTCCTTAGTTTCATTCCCAAAAGGTCTCGTAATAATTAGAGTTTGACATCTTTTTATATATTAGACATTTTTTCTAATTCTCCAATGTGTAACTTAGTTTGTTATCTCACAAATATTGCCTTTTAATTTATACGTGGTTTGGCAGTCTCAAGCATCAAGTTCTGAGAGATTATGAGCTATATATGCATATGATGAATTAGGATGAAAGATCTTTCGATGGAGACGACAGAGAAGCAAGTAACGATTACTTAAGTTAAGCTTGACACAATTAGCTTGGTAATCTTGTACTATACTTTATCAAATGAATAGAAATGTTGACAAAAAATTACTTAAGTTAAGTTATCCTAACTAATTGTAATTATATTAAAGTCTGAATCTTCAAGGAAAATTGCCAGAAATAACACTTTCAAGGTATCACTTTTCAACTTTATACTAACCAACTTTACCATCAAAATTTTAATAGTCAAAATACTATTAGAATTTAGGGTTTAGGGTTTAGGATTGATAATTTAGGGTTTAGTGTTGATTTTTTAGGGTTTAAGGTTTACTTTTTAGGGTTTAGAGTTTAGGGTTTAAGGTTTATAATTGATATTTTAGGGTTTAGCGTTGATTTTTAGGGTTTAGGATTTACTTTTTAGGGCATAGAGTTAAGAATTGATGTTTTAGGGTTTAGCGTTAATATTTTATTTAATATATATTTTATGTATATATATAAAGAACAAGAATATAAGAGTCTTTTATCATTTAATAAAATGTGTATTTTTAAAAATGTTCTTTTATTGATGGTAAACATGAAAAGTGGTACCACCAAAATGGTATAATTGAAATTCTCCCATTAATCAATAATTGTTTTAATATATTAAAAATGTAAATCTATAAAAAAAAAACACTATCCAAATTAACATAGATAATAGAAGTATATAATTATGAATTTTAATTATAAATTCCTAGTATGGTCAACAATTTATATAAAATAAATGAACCAAAGTATGATATTTAATTTTATTTATTATGTGACTAACATTATTTATATGGATTTTGTTTAAAAAAATATTATTTACAGAAGAAATAACATGGATTTCAAATTATCTAATGATCGATAACTAATTTGTAATAGAGTCAATACTATAAATTTTATCAAAAGACTATGGATAATTAAAATTAAATGGGGTTAACTGATTTCCTTTTAGCTTCCATGTAACTCCACCCCTGACCTCATGACAAACAAGTTGCTTAGAATCTTTATTTCATGCTCAAGTCCCATTACAGAAATATTTGGTGGTGAAATTTAGGAAGTTTAAGAATTAAAAAGAGAACATTTTCTTCCTTTTTGGTTCAAGGTGTTTTTGTTGTGATTCTAACTTCTTTTCAATTTTCTTTCATTTTGTATCTTTCTCTGTTTAATTTGTTTCTCTCTTAATCTTTTTCTATGTTTTTCTTTATGCAAGTTTTTGTTTTACCAAACTTATTTTTTGCATTCATTCTTGCATATTCCTTATTACATAGGATCATCTTACATTCTTATACTCACTCTAATCATGATTTCTTTTTCCTCTTCATCGCTAGAATCATCTAATACTAGCTCACTTCTTATATCCTAAGAACATCTTCAAACACATTCAATAATTTACTGCAAAATGGAATGGAAAATTGAATTAAGAAAAAACAAAAAAAATATTATTCTATTTATAGAATAATCACTTTTTCATCATTCTATTTTACAGTAAATTATGGAATGAGATTGGAGATGCTCTGAGTTCCTGACTCTTCTAACAACTTTTGGACTTTTAACTTTAATTAAAGACTGACCAACTAAAGACTTAACTTGACTAGTTTCTTGTTATGAGAAAGAAGACAAAATTTAATGGCCTACATGAAACAACAACTTGACTAGTCTCTTTTTTTTTTAAGTGTCTTTTTTTATCTTGGGTCAGATTAAGTTTTCTTAATTTTGATTTGGCCCCAACAACTTTAAAATAGATCTGATCGCAAACCGAAAGGTGAAATCTGACATAATTTTGATATGTTGATGTTGTTACTCATACATTTCAATACTTCATATGATTTCAGATATATTACCCTAAGTTCAGATAGATCACCCTAGAGTATGTACCTAAGAAACTTTTTTTCTAAAAATAAAAGATTTTGATTTCAGAAGGAAACAAAGAAAAAAATATCCAGATCAAAATACTTTCAAATCTAACTATAACAACACAACAGTAAAATAAATGAAACTATTACCGCATGAAAATTTGAAGTTGGGAACTTGGTTTATATATTAATATTCTAGGACATGTTGTTCATCGGATTTCATAAATTTAAAACACTAAAACCATATTAGACTGGAGCAGATGGCGTCTTGGATTTCAAAATCTTCTGACTCTCCTCGAAGTATTGGTTTGGATGGTTGATACCAGCATCACACGATGTGCCATAAACAGCCTCAAAGGTCAATGTGCATGCAAGCTTTTAGTATTATTGGTTTGTACATGCATATAAACAAGACTACATTAGTCTTTTCCTAGAATGAAAGATTCAAGCTAGGTTTAGTTAGAGATATAAAAGATGAATCACCTGATAATGTTTGTTCCTCACTTTATCCATCACATCTTCCATCCCACGAGAACTCAATCCCATTCTAATATAATCTCATAAGAACTTGCACTTCCCTCCGGTGTCTCAACTCCGTAGCTGTTAAAGACAACTCCAGAGTTAACCTCTGCAATGCTCGAAGAGGTAGTAGATGAATGTTGCTGATTGTAGCTTGCGTTATGAGTCCCAATGGAGATTGTACTTGAAAAGAGAGTGGGAGCGTTTTGTGAGAACTGCAAAACAGTTCCACTACTTCAATACAATGAAACTGAACTCATGGTGTATACAAGTATAGCTTTATAGTAGAGAGAAAGTTACCACTATATCTCTGTAATGAACAAGGACAATATGGTCGTATGCCCTGAGATGTAAAACTTCATGTGAGAAAACATTAAGTATAGGAAAGAGTATGGAGTATGAGTGGGCAGGCACTCACGGATCTAGCATCCAGTAGATACGTCTCTGAAAGTTAGGGTCATGCTCTCCATGCGCATAGTAACAATTCAAAGCTTCAACGTTACCCACCTGTTCACAAACACACATCAAAAGGAGTCATTAACAAGTAACACTCTTAAACAACATATCTAAAACTGCAAATTGAAGTTGAGTATCCCTCAAAAAGTGGTTTAAAAGAACCTTAAGTCGTTCGTGAGCTTCTGCGATAGCTCTACCATCCTGCTTTCTCCTCCACTGATGACCATCTTTACGGAAGAACTTAACAACTCTTTTGTTGAAAAGAAACAAGGATCCACCTGAGGAAACAAGAAGTTAAGAATCTTTCGTGTTTCTAATAATCTCAAAAACAAGTAAAGAGACCAAAAGTCAAACACTTACTAGTAGGGTTTTGAGGTGGGGTATGAGTCAACTCATATCTCTGATGATTCTGCAAAATGAAGTGAACCTCTGGAGGTTTCAACCAACGAGTCTGAGCTTCTTGGTACAGAGTACTAATCTCGTATTCTAAACACACAAACAAAACAAACGAAAGGTTTAGCCTTTTAGTCATAGGAAGACAGAAGAAGTCAAAAGGTTTAGCCTTTTAGCTATTTGGTGTTGAAAAACTCACCGGACTGCATAATGATATTTAGGGAGTTTTCAGACGAATTTTGAAGTAGCTGAATCTACGATGGTCTCACAAACATGAGGAGGATCAGTTTGGTCTTCGTTCCTAGGCTGTTCTCCACAATGATTGGCCGATAAAGAAGAAGAAGAAGAAGAAGAAGAAGAAGAGGAGGATAAAAGATCTATTATATAAAAGAAAGCATCCTTCCTTCTAAGGGGTGCCACCTCAGCGCCAGCGTGGAAAGGCCAGGTCAACAACTGTTTTGGGCCAAAATTGTCTGGGCTTCAGTTGTTTACATTTGGGCTTCACGTTAATGTTGGCCTTTATTTCTTGACTCTTTTTTGTTGACCTAAACGTTGTCTTCTTTCCATAGCGACTCGAGGCTCTTCGTGTTCTGAGAAGCACGGCGTATGAGGATCAATGAACACGGAGTCTTCTGAGATAACTTGTACCCAAAATCGAATCTCCGAAAAGAAGAAGCCGTCTTCCATACGAGAAGAAAATATCATTCTCCACAATAACTATAATTGATCAGATTCTCCAACCCATCGCGAGATCAATATATGATAATGTTTAAGCATAAGCTTCACGAAGCATTCAAAGGCACGGTGGAGAGGGTCACAGGTCCTCGCACGGTCACGGCGTTCAAGGAGAAAGGAGTACTCAGCGTCAGCGAGTTCGTGCTCGCGGGAGATAATCTTGTCTCTAAGTGCCCTACTTGGTCATGGTTAGTTTATAAAGTTTGAGTCTTTATTGATTAATTGTAGACACACAAAGTTGATTTTTTTATTTTAGGGTTTGTGAATTTTGCAATTATACGATATGGGTTTGCTGTAGACTTGATCGTTGAGGAATATGGGTAAATGGGTCTCTCTGGTTTGTGGATAAAGCTTTTGGCTTTTAGTATTTTGTATACAAGTTTTTACTGATGACTGATGAATTTGAAATACAAAGTCTAGATTTTAATTTTGGGGTTTGTGAATTTTGCAATTATACTATATGGGTTTGCTGTAGACTTGATCTTTGAGGTGTGTGGGTGAATGGGTATCTTTGGTTTGGGGATAAGCTGTTGACTTTTAGTGTTTTTTACTGAAGAATGTGAAATACAAGTAATAAAATTTCAAGTAGTAACAAAAAGATGATGTCTGAGTTCCCCAAAAGGTAACACAAATAGCCTCATTTTTTTCCACAGCTTCTTTTCTCTGATATTTTAATGTACTTTCCATTGGTTTTAACTGAAATCTATGAAGAAGAAATTACCAAAAATTGGAATATCATTCTTAGATGCTGGGTGAATCCTGTCATGATGGTCATCATTTTAGCTTTATGTACTCTAGGTTAGCTAATTAACTGCTTAGGAACTACAAATCCTCAAACAAGAGAAGACTTATGTAATCAGTAAAATTTAGGTTGTTCACAGTGGGGTTGATATATTTAAGAGTGTGATTGCCCATCTGAAAGAATATCAATGTAAACCAGGAGCAGCAGAGGGAGGAAGTACTGCACTGCACACACATCATGCTTCCTCGCCAAGGTAGTATCTTCTACATAGTCTCTTGCCATCTCTTCTCTCTCTCCCCTTCTCTGAAAAACCATTGTGTCTTTGTAAATCTGCGTCGCAGTGAGAGAGAAAGAGAGGAGATAGTTCCTGCTCTGAATGGTGATATTGCAGAAGAAAACACTCATGTTGAGCGAAAAGCAGGCAATGGAGGAGGAGGTTATACAGTGCACATAAGTCTGTCAAGAGCGCGAGCATGGTCTGTTCTACATTCATTGGTGTCCAATCCTAAATCTGCAAGAGGTAGTTAGTAATTGATTATCAAAGATAGAGATAAAAAGTGGATCATGTACGGAGTATGTAGCTTACTACTTATTGTTGTTGTTATGTAAGTTGGGAAGAAGATAATGAAACAATTATGGAACTTATTGATTGAGTTTATGAAACACTCGCAATCTAATACACAGTTTACGTTTTCACATGAATTTTAATTTTCATATTACTAGAAAGAAAACATAAAAGTAGACACTTTCAAAGTGTCAAAAAAAGACACACAAAACTCATCGTACCATATTATAAAGCAATGATTTGAATTATGACTTGGATTATAAGATGAGAATAGCAAATATTGTGATCTCTTTATAGCTGGACGGCCAAGAAGGATTAGCAGAGCTTAAAACGCATAGGTATGTTTCTATAAAAAAAGCACTCATATCAATTTTGGTTATTTACAATAATTGTTAAGAGTTAACAGATTTAGTGCGAACAAACACAAATCAATTTTTTTTTGAATGAAATACAAAACTATTTAATATCATTGATTTTTAATATGTGAAATGAATTCTCTTGCGGCAACTGCCAGTTCGGAAATTCCTAGCTACCATTTACAGAAAAACAAACTTCGACACGCACTCTCGCCACTGTACAACAACTACTCTTTCCATTCGCTGCTAAAACCTATCTTTGTCCGTAATTCTTACATGTAAGGGCAACAAATTTCTAAAAATTCAGTTTACTTATTCACTGCAAGGCTCCAAGGCTCGCTTCATCAGTAACAAATCCTAAAATTCACACAACAAACATATTATTGATAAAAGAAATACAAAATATATTAATTTATTGACTACTACTATATACCACTTGGACAACACCTACAAATTTTTTACCAAAAAAAAACACCTACAAAATCTGCTTTGTTTATGGGAGATGTTTTTTAATTCACTTTCTCTTGCAAAACCTAACATAAACCACAGACAATTAATATATAATAATATAGGCATATACCTCATACATAAATTACAGTTTTTTTTTTCATATTTCTTACATTACTAATAAATTTCTTGGAATCTCATATAACACCAACACTAAAAATCCAGTCTTCATAGTTATACACTTAAAATTCATGTAGATAACACTATCGTATTGAAATCCAACTTAACAAAATCTTATAAATTTGTTAAATATTTTATAAAAAATAAAATTATTCATATCATTCACCGCGTCATTCAATTCCGCGCGTAGCGCGGACCGGTCCTAGTTTTTAATAAAACGAAGGTGTAAAAAATTGACTATATGGGACTGAGTCAGCAAGATGGAAGTTAATGCGTGATTCTCTGTGGCGATGCCCATGCCATCGAAAGCGACTATTGGTTGATAAATTAATGATACACACGTGTCGTACACTCAGAGATTCTTAAATTAATCCATGTCTAGCTGGCCTCCTTGCAGCTATGGAACGAAATTACGGACTCACCCCTAGTCTCATTTGACTTTGATTATGTTGAGACTAGAGAGAGCACGACGACAAAGTAATTCAACTTGTCATTTGACAATTTCTTTGGCCCACGTTACTAAATTATGAATGCGGTGGACAAAAGAGTAAATATCCAAATTTGTGGTGTTATTCTTAATTTATTTTCATCTATTTAAAATGAATATTTTTTTTTATTTGCACTTGTTTAGATCTCCGTTCTCAGTGTTCAATACGAATATTTGGTAAAACCTTAATTTATTTTCATCTATTTAAAATGAATTTTTTTTTTATTTGCACTTGTTTAGATTTCCGTTCTCAGTGTTCAATACGAACTAGGTGTTTTGCCCGCACTTGCGGGCTTAATAATTTTACTAATATCTATAAACAAATATATAATCAATTTAAGTAAATTATAATAAAATATTGTGAATACACTCAAAACATTTAATAATAACCTATAGATTCTTTCTATATATAAATTTTTTCATCATTATATAAATAATTATCATTGCACAAATTAAATGTGAAATTCCCATAAATTTAAAATATTTAGTAATAAATTAATATGTTTTCTAGACATAAACAAAAAGAAGTATATTTAAACTAACTTTAGTAATGTTTTGGATAACACAATATAAATTATCTAAACATATATTATTTGCAAATTGATTTTTTATAATTAAATATATATTAAGAAATATAATTATTTTCAAGGTTAATCAAGAGTTTATAACATAATATAAAAAGTTAGATAAGGATAATTATCAAATTCATAAAATTCGTTTTTAATTTAGAATTAATTATATATTAACAAATATAATTATTTTTCAAGGTTGATAAACATAATATAATTTTTTTAAATAAGGATAATTATCAAATAAATGAAGTGCAGGCTTAATAATTTTACTAATATCTATAAACAAATATATAACCAATTTAATTAAATTATAATAAATTATTGTGAATACACTCAAAACATTTAATAATAATCTAAACAGATTCTTTCTATATATAAATTTTTTCGTCATTATATAAATAATTATCATTGCACAAATTAAATGTGAAATTCTCATAAATTTAAATATTTAGTAATAAATTAATATGTTTTCTAGACATAACAAAAAAGAAGTATAATAAACTAACTTTAGTAATGTTTTGGATAACACAATATAAATTATCTAAACATATATTATTTGCAAATTGATTTTTTTCATAATTAAATATATTTTAACAAATATAATTATTTTTCAAGGTTAATAAAGAGTTTATAACATAATATAAAAAGTTAGATAAGGATAATTATCAAATTCATAAAATTCGTTTTTAATTTAGAATTAATTATATATTAACAAATATAATTATTTTTCAAGGTTGATAAACATAATATAATTTTTTTAAATAAGGATAATTATCAAATAAATGAAATTCGTTTTTTATTTAAAATTAATTATATATTAACAAATATAATTATTTTTCAAGGTTGATAAACATAATATAATTTTTTTAAATAAGGATAATTATCAAATAAATGAAATTCGTTTTTAATTTATAATTAATTATATATTAACTAATATAATTATTTTTCAAGGTTAATAAAGACTTTATAACCCAATATAAAATAGTTTTAGATAAAGATAAATCTAAAATCAATTGAAATTCGTTTTTTATTTATGTTTAATTATATATTAAAAATTTTAATTATTCATTAAGGGTATAAACGATATTGACCACTCTAACTTTTAACGTGAGAGCTCCGTTGCGAAAAATCACTTCGCAAATAATAGTATAGATAGTTGGTAAAACCTAATAATTTGAAGTAGGATACTCGTTTAATAAAAATAAAAGAATTTGATTTAAGAAGGAAAGTGTTCCTGAAGAAAACAAAGAAAAAATATTAATCAAAATACTTTCAAATCTAACTTTGATAACACAACAATTAGATGGATGAAATTATTACTACATGATGCTTGAATCAAATGATGGAATGAGACAAAAAGGGTAAAAAAATATGGAATTGACCTCCTCTAATTTTAATTAAAAATGAATTAAAAACAAATTAAAATTAGAGAGAAAAGATCATAAGGTCAAAGGATCAAAACATATTTATTTAGTAACTTGCATCATCACTACTCTATACAGATTCAATCCGGATTCAAATCCAAAACTAGATCCAACTTTAACCATAATCTTCTTTTTCTTGGACTATTTTCTTCTTATTTCTTTTTCTTCTCCTCCATTAACGTTTTTCACCTTAAAACAAAAATAAAAAAAAATTTCAAACATATCCACCAAATTTTTCTTTCTTGTCTCAAATCGATCAATCCATAGTCATATTTAATCAATTATATCTTATCTAGAATCAATTTTTTTCTTTTACGTATGAGATTCAAAATAAAGAAGAACATAGAGTATTACTAGTGCAACTTCAACTATTACAATTAGTACAACTTAAATTAGTACAGCTAGTACAACTATAACAAGTATAAATAGATTGAATATAACCATTATATTTGATAAAGTAAAATGTGTATAACTAATACAACTTTACAGGTGATTTTTATTTTTTTTGTTTCCAGTGTATGAAAACGGTAGAAAATATGATGATTTAGAACCAATAAGACTTAACATAGAATAGTGTTGCAGGGATCAAGCCAAAGGCCTTGTTTTGCATTTATACCCCTTCTTCATCAAAGTCTCTCTCTCTCTCTCTTCATCACAATATTAATCTCCTCTCTTTACTTCTTCACCAACAGAGAAGGAATATCGTTCAGTGGTGGTTGTGCTTGGAACGATAAGATGATCATCCGTAAGTACGACTATGCGGTTGCAAAATTTGGAGGGAATTAGAAGCTTATTAAGAAGGCAGCCATTGAGCTAGGTGTGCCCGAGAGTGAGGTGTAGCGTGAGGCACAGAAGTTGAAGAACGTCATAAAGAGCAACAAGGGAAAGATCAAGAAAGGTGCTTGAAATCAATATTTATAAGGGTTTAAGAAACATAAATTTTATATTTATTTAGTTATCTTCTCATGTTCTTCTCTCTCTCATGATCAGAGTACAAAACATCTTCATGGCCATGTTGATGAAAACTCTTTGAAGAACTATAAGAGAATGAAGTAGTTGTAGACAATAACGACAGTTTAGAAATAGTTTTAAGTACCAACTCTCTTTGTTCTTCCTCCGTTTCTCACTCGAGAGCTCATCAGAAACCTTCCCTACAAACCGAAAACACTTGTAATTTAACTTGTCTCAAAGTTTGTAGTACCTTTGTCTGGGGTGTCCAACAAATGTGTACACATACTCTGTCTTTCTGAGCTTTCAATCTCCATGAAGAAGGCGTTTCATGGACAATGCATGAATGACTATGTTCTTCAACAATCATGTGGTTGTTTCGGTTGCAAATGGAGCCGATGAGCCCCTCTGTTGAATATGATAAGAAGTAGATAATAGTAAATGAGGATGATAATCAAGAATATGATGGATTGAAATGACGAGGAAGATGGATGATGATGGAACACGGAAGCAAGCTCGTGAGCTTATGCAGAAGAAGGCATTTGGTTTGATCTTTGCAACGCTATTCTATATTGTAACGAGGCAGCTTGTTAGTTTAAACTTGGAATGTGGGAACGCTTGATTGTAACCAAGCACTGCATTTTCAATCACAAAGCCAATTTGTTCTTAGAGCTGAAGGTACATAACGGAAAAAAACACACAATTAGTTTGATTTGTAATTATTAGGTGTAAGTTTGTGCTTGAGATTTCTATGTTCAACTGGAAAGATGGGAGCTGCAGTGAGTGATCACCTACGAAGCCTTGAGAAGGAAACTGCCTCATGACAAGAAAGTTGCTTAGAATCTTTATTTCATGCTTAAGTCCCATAAATCTTGGGTGGTGAAGTTCATGAAGTTTAAGAATTAAAGAATCTTTTGTTTTTGGTTTCAGGGTATTTTTGTTGTGATTCTACAGTAAAACCTCTATAAATTAATAATGTTGGGATTTTTAAATTTTATTAATTTATAGAGATATTAATTTACAAAAATTTCCTTATTTAGATTTTTTTTATTTTAAGATATATTTATTTTAAGATACGAAAAATATTTGATTTTAATGTATAGACTTTAATCGTTATTTTTTTAAAAAATTCACATTTATATTAATTTTTTATATTATTTGATATGTAACATATATTTTCATAAAATTTAAATGTGATTTTAGATATATATTACTAAATCTCATTACAAATATATTATGTGTTAAGAAAATGTTAAGATAATTCCATTGTAAATTTAAAACAAACAATATAATGCTAGGTTCTTACTTATATAAAATATGTATATATAGAAATTATTAATTTATAATTTTAATGGGACCATATATTTACATAGAATTTTCTGAAAATTTATTATCTTATTATTTTATCGATTTGTGTCAAATTTTGAACCGACCCAATTTGGGATCGGTGAAATTTATTAATTTATAGAGATTATTAATTTATCGAGTATTAATTTATAGATGTTCTACTGTAGCTTGTTTTCAGTTTTGTTCTTTCACTTTGTCTCTTTCTTTGTTTATTTTGTTCCTCTCTTAATCTTTTTCTCTGTTTTTTTTATGCAAGTCTTTGTTTTACCAAACTTATTTTTTCATTCATTCTTACATATTCCTTATTACATAGGATCATCTTACACTCTTATACTCACTCGAATCATGATTTCTTGTTCATCTTCATCGCTACAGTCTTCTACTACTTGCTCACTTCTTACACTAACTCTTCCAACAACTCTTGGACTTTTAACTTTAATTAAAAACTGACCAACTAAAGGTCTACATGAAACAAGGTCGGGTCCTTTCTAAAAAGTGTCGGATCCAGGCTATTTTATCTTGGGTCAGATTAAGTTTTCTTAATTTTGATTTGGCCCAAACAACTTTAAAATAGATCTGATTGCACACCAAATGTGTGAAATCTGACATAATTATGATATGTTGGTGTAGTTACTCATACATCTCAATAATTCATATGAATTCAAATATATTACCCTAGAGTCTATGTAGCTAGGAAACTTTTTTCCTAAAATAAAAGATTTTGATTTCAGAAGGAAACAAAACCTTCCGGAAGAAAACAAAGAAGGAATGTACTGATCAAAATACTTTCAAATCTAACTTTGATAACACACAGTTAAATAAATGAAATTATAACTGCATGGAAATTTGAAGTTGGGATCTCATAATTTAATAACATTAAACCATATTAGACCGGAGCAGCTGGCGTCTTGGATTTCAAAACCTTCTGACTCTCCTCGAAGTATTGGTTCGGATGGTTGATACCAGTATCACACGATGTACCATAAACAGCCTCAAAGGTCAATGTGCATGCAAGCTTTTAGTATTATTGGTTTGTACATGCATATAAACAAGACTACATTAGTCTTTTCCTAGTATAAAAGATTCAAGGTTTAGGTTAGAGATATAAAAGATGAATCAATCACCTGATAATGTTTGTTCCGCACTTTATCCATAACATCTTCCATCCCACGAGAACTCAGTCCCATTCTACCAAGTGCTGCTCTCAGGTTATCCTCACTGTCATTTTACCACCAGAATCCATGAGTTACATTACATTTAGTTTACTTAAATCATTGTTTCGATTTAGAACTAGACAAAGAGTCAAATAACAACAACTTGTAAGCAAAACTGACCTGAAATGTCGGTACGGACAGCCATGATGATCCCCAGCACCAGGAGCCGATGAGATGATTTTCTGACAAGAATAAGGCGTATAATCCTGAAAGTTGCAATGTCACATTTGGTATCAGAAACTTACATGAATCAGCCCCACAATTGCAGCTTTCGCTGACAAATAAAATTAATGAAACTGTAAGCATCTTACCGTTCTCTTCCCTTCCTTCCCGTAGTTATGGCGAATGGAATAGGCGTACTCTTTATCAAACCTCTCAGAGCCAACCTAAGAATAAATTAAAAAAAACAAGTAAAATTAAATAAGTATATATAGCTCAGTAGTACTTAGTTCCTACAGACAAAAGCCTCCTTATTCAAATTTTATAGCACACAAGAACATACTGAAAAGGGTGTGTGGACCATGAAAACTAGCCTCTTTAGACAAAGTTGTTCTAAACTGAACTTAGTACACATTAACAGACATTTGTGAATCTAAAGTTACCTTCTTTGTGAATTCTGCTCTCCAAAACGCTAAAGCGTCATCCAGCTTCAGACCCACACCCTACACGTCAGTCAATAGACAACTTCAGATAGGTACAAAGAGAAGAGAAAGCATAAAAAAAAACTTAATCGGTGCATAGTGTTATTAGATGTTTGACCAAAAAGGAGAGTGATTAAAAGAGGAACCTTCAAAAATAAACCCAGTTGCATTCTTCCTCCATGTTTTAGATGATGATCATCTCGAAGCTGGGCGTGTAAACATTCGCATGTTAGGATATGTTAACTAACGAAAAATAAAATATTTGAGAGCCATGAAGCAACTTTACTTTATCAAATAGATGTCTCATGCAAAGTGGGAAGGAAGTCTTGGCAACTTGATCAATATCCTTGAGTGTTATCTCAGCGAACTCAGATGACTGTGGAGGAAAATTTAACAACTTTTCAGTGATTCCATATGGATGAATGTATATAATATAACAAGTTTCACAAAAACGATCCTCACCTGAGAATAATCAGGACCCACGTAGCTTGTAGATAAAGCTTCTACTATCTGAATGATTAACAAATAATAAAGTTAATGCAGTGAATAGAGCAGTTGATTCTAAGTCCTAAGTGCTTACTGGAGTTAGTCTGTCTTTCTCTCTCTCTTGAATAGTTGTAGTCCATTTTCTGCAAACACAAAGAGAGTCTTGCAGCTAAAGCGTGACACGTATAAGAGGAACTTGTGGATGACTAATATAACTAGGGAGTAACCTGTTTGTTAGAATAAGGGCTTTTGATAAATGAGCTCGAAATTGTGTGACAACAAGAGAAACCAACTGATAGGAGAAATGAGGAAATTAACTGATAGGAGAAAGTTATATTTTGAAAATTGGAAATGGAAACAAAAAACTTACCTGACTGCCAGCAACAAAGGCATAACCTTTCTGTATAAGTACTCTTCGGGTAGCCACAAGGTCAGGAACCTCTTCAAAAGGAACCTTTTTTGGAAACGAGCAAATGAATAGCGTATATCAGATAAGTGAAAAATCCGTAGCTTTTTTGGTATATGAACATATAAAATAGAAGAGGCAGTCTTACCTTGTAGTATACAGCGTCAACTGCACAGGACAAGACAAGAAACTCTCGTTAGAAAAAAGTACTAGTCACACTGCTAAATAATTCAGAGGATAAAGGTAAAAATCTATATTGAAAATACAACAAATTTCATCTATGATTTAGTTATTGACACCAGATACACGCCGCTACTATGTTATGCTTATACTGAATGATAACATCACTACATGTGAAAATAGATTGAATGTGAACGTATACCGTTTGGTGAAATTTGACCTAGTGAACGTACCACTTGCCCCAACTTCTCCTTCAAACCCTACCAATAGTCAAAGATCTATGATTAGGATTCTATAAATATACTCAAGTAAAACTCCAAAACATTACCTCAAGTTCTGCACCTGTGACTGCCTTATACGGTAATCCAAACTCTCCCACAATTCCTCTCTATAAAACAAGAAAAGAAAATAACATTTTTATCACCAGATACATCATACATCCTAAACCTAACCGACCAAAAAAAAGGAACACAGTACCTGTGTTTGAAAGTTCTCAAGCCGGAACCTATGTCGGAAAAGAGCAGTTTCCATACTAAGAAACCATTTCTTCAATTCATCTCTTTAAAAATACCAAACAAAAAAAAATCAAACTTTAGAAACCAAAAACAATCAAACTAAAGAAAGACAATAAGACAACATAAACAGAGCTTACGATCTGCAATAAACGAGACGTAACACGAAATGTGAGATGATATCCTTATTCAACATCACAGACGCATCTGGATCTCTCATATGATCTCTCCACAAAGTATCCACCTTTACTCAACAAAAAAAAAACAAATTGGATTTATATAAACAAACAATCTAGAAGCAATTGAGTTTTCAAGCTCACCGTCTCATCCATCTCCTTAGGGTTTCTCCCGCGGGCTAATCCATCAGAGACCCCTTTTAAAACTGAATCACAAAATTAACGAAATTGATGAGAGCCCAGTTCGATTCGAGGAGAATCGATACGGAAAAGAGATGACTTTTGATGGAAAGAAACCTCGGAGGCGATGGACGGCGAAGAGCTCGAATTCTTCTAATCGGACTTCCATCGTTGGAGCTGTGAAGTAGAGTGGGAGTTTGGGATTCGAAACGGTGTCGTTTGTGGGTGTTCGTTTTTGAGATCGTATCACCTCCATTTTCTAGATTTTGTTTTTCTTCTTCTTGTGTTGATGTTAGGCTGTGGTGTTTACTCTCTCTCTCTCTCTCGGCGAGAAACTTCAAGCACAAAGGGCGCTTAGACAGAAAAGGGTTTTGTCGATAAAAGGGCGGGAAAAATATGGAGGTTGGAGAGCGGGAGTTTATTGGTTGGGCCTGTTATTGGGCTTTTGTCGGGAAGAATATTAGCAGAACAGAACCCACGGGATAAAAGCAGTGTTCGGAAACGGGCTAGGCGTTACGCGTGCGGTTGGATAGGGCCTAGCGCATAATTGATTATTCAGAAATTATACGGAGATTAATCGGGGCGTAATTTTAGGACTTTTATGAATATTTTGGGTTTATATTTTAAATATGTATACTTAATACGTTGTTGGCACATCGTGTTGTGGTCAGGGGGATTCTTAATACTTCACGTGGCCCAGGTTCGAGTAAAGGCTGGGCCATTTTGTTTTTATTTTCCCACTTTTTAGGTTTAATGAAGTCAAAAGTACTAAAATAACCTCATCTTCAACCTTGGTTCTTTGAATTTCCAGATCCAGTTGCAGCCGCAATTCTTTTTTTTTTGTGATTTTCATTCGTTTTCTTTCTAATCTTACTGATTTTGATCAAAATACAACATATTTATGAGTTAACATGTGATTTCAAGCTTCAAATCTAGAAAAACGATAGTTTCTATAAGTCTACCGATTAAGTAGCCGCCTATGGTCAAATCGCAACGCTTCCTACCCGCAACGCGCTTTCCGGCGGTTAAGCGGCCGCGTAGACCGCGTTTTCGAACAGTGGATAAAAGTATTGTTTTCTTCGAAGTGTGTATATAATGTTTCTTTTTGACAACTATGAGAAGAACAACATGAAAAATTATGAAGAAATATTAGTTATAAAAATTTCGAGAAAAATCATAAATATATTAAGGTATACACTTGCATCAAACCAACATCTAACATTTTTCATAATGGTTACAACATGATTGTGACTATAGTCGTAAAATTTACAAATGATTACAAAAATTATGAACAGAGGTGGTCCTGGCCCAAAGCAAAGAAAGCATAGGCTTCCGGTTGCTATTAAATAAATAAAAAGTTGGCCACATTTTTCAAAAAATCTGGGTTGGTCTAGTGGTCTCAATGGCTATTTTCTCATATCCAATGCTTGAGTTCGAGTACCCTCCTCCTACATTTTGACCACATTTTTTGTTTTTGCTTGTAGCCTTCAATTTTGTAAGACTGGCCTTGGTTATGAACGCATCGAATGAACTAGAAAGAATCAAAAATTTCGTTTCAACTGACTTTAATGCTAGGAAGCGATGCTTCTAGCCACATCTAGATCAGCTTTCGGCCTTAATCCCCCCCCCCCCTAAGCCCATAGCCAACTTGCATCTATACCTGTTAGGACTCTGGACACTCCTCTTCGCCCGAGATTTGAATTTGTGACCTCTCAAACACATTCCTGGGATGTTACCAGTTGAGTTAACTCGTCTGGATTGCGCTAAATCATGTTAAAGTATTGATATTACATTAATTGTATATACATGCAATAGATCACAAAACTAGTCACCAATTAATTTCTGTAATTTTCAAATAATTTATTTGATGAGTATATCCAATAACATCCGTGAAAAGATCCACGCTTACCAAACATGTATTTACCTGTGTTTCCCGTTGCACGCCATTAAAATCCACACGTTTTGGTTAAGTAGACGTTAATTTGGGTTCCTTCTCGTTTTGATAGACCTTGTGAAAGCTTTTACATTTGGAGATGGGTATTCTCATGATCTATCACGAGCATGAAATCCACATGTTTCATTTCTGATACACATATTAGATGAAAAATATCCCAAAAATCAGCTATCAACTTATTTACATTTAAAACAAATTAAATAAAACTTTTAAGATAAGTATGTAATATTAACAAATTTGTAATATTAATATATCAATATGTTTTTAAAATATCAAAAATATTTTGTTTTCAATCCATACATTAAAACTCCATCTTTATCATATTAAATACTAGTACTACTTTACACGTTAAAACACATTGCATTATAAGTAGCATTTAACATTTTGAGTACATATATTTATTACATTTTCTAATTTAATCTTTATTTTTAGTTTATTAATTAACAGTAAGATAAACATTAAATTATTTTCTTAATCAAATCTATGTGAAAAGGCATTATTTTTGAAACTTGGATAGTATAATTATTATTGCTCAAAAAAGAGTATAATTATTAATCTCCATTCTAAAAAAGGAAATGTTAATCACATCCTGTACAGCTGTTACTAATCCTTTAGTATTATTTCATTATATTTTCTCAAAAAGACTAATTAAGAACTTATTGCATTATAATTTATTGTTCATTATGTCAACTACGTACGATACATGTTTTCTTACAATTAATCTTTTAAAAGTTTTCAATCAACAGTTAAATAATGCAATAAAATCAAAATCTGACCAGCAAAGATTTTTATAAATGATACACCATAAATTAGATTATAAGAACAATAATGAACGTGTAGTGATTGACACCGACGTGCTTCACGTTCGTTGACATCTCCCTCAGCACTATTTCTCCACCTTCTTATCCAATCCCATCCACCTTGTATAACAATCTCTCGCCAAACCCAAGAAAAATGCGAAAAACAAAATCAACCATGATTCAGAAAAGTACAAAACACACGCTTCTAGAGCGACCTTGGTGCATCGTGGTTGCTCTAGCTGGTCTTATAGCTGGCGCAGTGCTGATCACAAGTTTCATCCGATCTACGGACAACACTTTATCACTATGTTCCACGGCTAAGACAACCGCAAAATCCATAGCTGAATACACAGCCACACCAATCCAACTCCAATCCATCGTCCATTACGCAACCTCACGCATCGTCCCTCAACAAACCTTCGAAGAGGTTTCAATCTCCTTAGACGTCCTTAAAGACCGTTTACCATGCAACTTTCTCATCTTTGGCCTAGGACGTGACTCTCTCATGTGGGCCTCTCTTAATCCAGGTGGCAACACTGTGTTCTTGGAGGAGGATCCTGAGTGGATCCAGGCCGTTCTCAAGGAGGTACCGTCCCTAAGAGCCCATCATGTTCAGTATCGGACACAACTCTCTCAAGCGGACCGTCTCCTCGCCACGTACAAGTCCGAACCAAAATGTTTACCAGCTAACGCTTTCCCCATACGTTACAACGAGAAGTGTCCTTTGGCGTTGACTTCACTTCCTGATGAGTTTTATGATACTGAGTGGGATTTGATCATGGTGGACGCACCAAAAGGATACTTTGCTACCGCGCCAGGGAGGATGGGAGCAATATTCTCGGCAGCTGTCATGGCACGTAACAGGAAGGGTGCTGGCACGACGCATGTTTTTCTTCATGACGTTAACCGCAAAGTGGAGAGAACTTACGCCAATGAGTTTCTATGTAAGAAGTATAAAGCCAAATCTGCTGGTAAGCTATGGCACTTTGAAATACCCAATGCTGCTAACATGAGTGATCAGCCAGGGGACCGGTTTTGCTAGATTGCGTCCATATTCGGTTCTTGGTTACTTCCTTTACATTAAACTCCGCATAGTTTGAAATCGTTTTATATTTAAATATACAACTATCCAAAGGCTTCTCATTAAAATAAATTATGTATCCTATCACTATTGCTCTTTGTGTTTTGTATGCTGTGGGTGTAGAAAATTATTGAAGTTAGTGTTGGACATAAATGTTCGAGGCTGGTTTCATTTTTGCTAAGTTATAAATTTTACAAATTACTAAATGATCCTCCAAATGGCACATGTGTGTATATTGTTCATTGTTGTGAGAAATAGGATGAAAAAGGTTAAAACGATTTTTAAAAGAGTTAAATGCAAAACTAAAATGACAGAGAAAGTAGGATCAAACAAACCTAAGGATTTCAGGTACTTAATTCTGGTCGTTAATTTATGTATTGGATTAGCACATGGGCCTATTGTTTGCTAAAATAACTGGATCATTTGGGCTGTAATTATGGATGGTCTTACGTATATCTTTATAGTTACTGTTTTCAGTCTTCAGTTTCTCTTTGTGACCGTCGCTTAACTCGCCTTCTCTATTTTATGTAATCTTGCATCACCGTAATTCATTCATAGTTATCTACAAACATTAATATGAGTTTTCTGAGTTCGTAGGTGGCAAGTTAAAATAGGTTCCATGAGACGTGGACGTGAACTACAATAATTTAGACAATTTCAAATACAATAAGAAAGATGCAGAGATATATTCCGCAAATTCGACAAAGGCAATCAACATATTATATTAAAGAGCAATGAACCAGGACTTAATATTTCAAATGGCAGGTTGCGTAGATGTATACAGATTTGGAATTTCTGTCGTTATCAATAAGAGTTGAAAAAATTACTAACTAAAGATGAATGGGCTTCAATCATAGCCGACCTTTTCCTGTTGAAATTACATCTTTCATGTTATCGAAATAATATCTTCATGCTCACACATCACAGTTCATAATAATATATTACTTTGGCAATGGAGGTAGACACAAACAAAAACGCTATTGTGTCGAGTTAGATTTCTAAGTAATATTAATGTGATGTTAAATTGTTACAGTTCAGGACTTCAAACACATATTGAACAGATTCAATTAATTGTGTTAAACGGAAAGTTTGTTACAACATATGCTTAAATACACTGGTTTAGCTAAGGGAAACTAGAACCAGAGATGGTTAACTCTTAACCATAATAAACCAACTAACTATATCATCTAATACCCCCCCGTCAAGTCTCTGAAACTGAAGCTTCTGCTGGAAGAAAGAGACTTGAAAGAGACATCCGATCAAGCAGAGAACGGAAAGGACCAGAATGCAGAGGTTTGGTGAAGATATCCGCATGCTGGTTAGCACTAGAAACATGCATCAAAGTGATGAAACCATTCTTGACTTGATCTCGAATGGTATGGCAGTCAATCTCCACATGTTTTGTGCGCTCATGGAAAACAGGATTGGTAGCAATATGCATTGCCGATTTGTTATCACAAAACAGTTTAGCAGTAGAAGTAACCTGCACCCGGAGACTGGTAAGGAGCTGTTGAAGCCAAAGCAGTTCACAAGTTGTATGTGCCATACTGCGATACTCAGCCTCCGTGCTACTGCGACTGACAACGTCCTGCTTCTTAGACTTCCACGTGATGAGGGAGGTGCCAAGATAGACACAATATCCAGTCACAGAACGACGTGTATCAGGACAAGTAGCCCAATTAGCGTCTGAGAAGGCATTGAGGCACAAGGAAGAAGCAGCAGAATAATATAATCCTTGACCAGGATTATTCTTGATGTAACGTAAGATCCGATGAGCAGCCGTGAGATGAACATCAGTCGGAGCAGACATGAATTGACTCAAACAATGAACAGCAAAAGTGATATCCGGACGTGTAATGGTCAAATACAAGAGACGACCAATCAAAGCACGATAAGCAGTGGGGTCATCAAGAGGTGTACCAGAATCACGGCTCAGCTTAACCAGAGGATCCATTGGTATCGGACTTGGCTTGCACGCTAGAAGACCAGCATCTGACAAGAGGCTAAGCGCATATTTTCGTTGAGAGATAGAGATACCAGTAGAGCTGCGAGCAATTTCTAAGCCAAGAAAGAACCGAAGAGGACCCAAATCTTTGATCTTAAAATGTTGATGAAGAGTAGCTTTGAGAGAAGCAATCGCATTATCATCGTTCCCAACAATCATAATATCATCAACGTAGACAAGAGCTGCCACAAAGCTGGATCCGGTTTGCTTAATGAACAAGGTATTGTTAGCAGGAGACTGTGTAAAACCAACGGAGAGGAAGACTGCAGAGAGACAGTTGTACCATTGTCGTGAGGCCTGCTTCAAGCCATACAAAGATTTGTGAAGACGACAAACCGGATTAGGAGGAAGAGATCCAGTTGCAGGTACATATCCTTGAGGAAGACTCATGTAGATCTCTTCATCGAGATCACTATGCAAGAAGGCGTTAGAGACATCCATCTGAGACATATTCTATCCTTGAATTGCAGCAAGAGCCAGTAAGAGTTTCACACTAGCAAGCTTAGCCACGGGAGAAAAAGTATCAGTGAAGTCAACTCCCTCTTGCTGAGTAAAACCCTTCGCCACCAAGCGAGCTTTATATCTCTCTATTGTTCCATCAGCTCTGTATTTGATGGTATAAACCCACTTGCAACCTACGACGTTTTTACCTGGAGGTAAAGATTCAACAGACCAAGTGTGATTCGCTTCCATAGCCTGCAATTCCTCATTAGTAGCCTTTCTAAAATGAGGTGATAACATGGCTTGTTTAAAAGAAGTTGGTTCTGTTTCAAGAGAGTAGGATAGTATATAAGATTGGTAAAGAGGTGTAAAGTGGGAATATGTAAGAACAGAGGATATAGGATATGAGGTAGATGATGATAAAGAAGAAATGGAATGAGAATCAAGAGTATTGGAAGAAAAAGAGGCACGTGCAAGAGCACAGTGATACTGAGATAAGTAACCTGGAGGTTTGACAGTGCGTTTGGGTCGTCCACCAATCAAGCGACCCTGACCTGTGCTTAATGGTACAGTCTCAACTACAACAGGATCAGGAGCAGAAATAACATTTGGTTGAGATGATTCTAAATGCACAGAAGCAGGAACACTATCAATGATCTCAGGAATCGGCATTGGTAAAATAGTATGATCAAAAATATCAGATATCATAGAATCAGATGTTTTATCTTTTGTGAAAGGAAACTCAGTCTCATGAAAAATGACATTACGAGTAATAGAAAGTTTATTGCTATCAAGATGAAGAACCTTGTAACCCTTGTATCCAGATGGATAACCTAAGAAGACACAAGCATCAGCTCTAGCAGAAAATTTATGCCTATCCTTAGGTAAAGTGGACACATAACAGAGACATCCAAACGATTTCAAAAAAGAGTATTGAGGGATCTTGTTTGTCAATAGTTCATAAGGAGTTTTATTATCTAGAAGTACAGAAGGAATCCTATTGATTAGAAACACAGCAGTAGCAACACAATCAGTCCAATATGCTAAAGGAACATTAGACTGAAACAAGAGAGCACGAGCAACATTTAAAATGTGTTGGTGCTTGCGTTCGACAACAGAGTTTTGTTGAGGTGTGTAAGGACATGAGAATTGATGTATCATACCATGTTGTTTAACAAGCTGAGTAAAGGCTAATTCTGGAGCATTATCACTACGGATTACTTTTATATCAGCCTTGTATTGAGTTAAAACATGATTAATAAACTCGGGAAAAACTTGTAAAACATCATTTTTATTACGCATCATGTAAACCCAAGTAACCCTTGTACAATCGTCGACTATGGTAAGAAAGTACCTATATCCCTCAACAGACTCAACTGAAAAAGGACCCTAAACATCCAAATGGATCAAATCAAAAGGTGAAACAGACACATTATTATTAGACACAAACGACAATCTCTTTTGTTTTGCTAAAGGACATATAGAACAATGATCAGACCTATGTAAAGTAGACTCAGAAAGATCCAAAGTACCAGACAGTTGCTTTAACTTGGAAGCTGATGGATGTCCAAGGCGTTGATGCCAGAGATTCCCATCGACTTGCAAGGATCCACAGAAAGAGAACGAAGTAGGAGTAGTAATATCAAGAATGTATAAGTTCTGATGAAGAGATCCTCTACCAATCATCAATCCCTGAATAGACTCCTGTATTAAGCAAAATTCAGGGTAAAAATGAGCAGAGAATTCACTATCACGAAGAAGACTACAGACACTGATCAAATTGAAATGAAATGAAGGAACGTATAGAACATTATGCAAGACAATATTATCAGACAAATGCACAATTCCTATATGTGATATCTGCTCATGAAATCCATTAGGTAGAGAGACTGTAACACCAACAACCGGTGTAGTGTCACTGAAAAGTGAAAAATCCGAACACACATGTGTAGTGGCTCCACTGTCAATTATCCAAGCATCACTAGAAATAGAATGAGATATTGACGAAAGACATTGATTTTGGAATGTAAGGACATGATTTTGAAATTGGAGGCTAGTAGAAGGAAATGGAATAATACCAGAAGTGGATTGAGAAGCCATGTAACCATTCTCATTAATAGAAGACTGCTTACTCGAAACCGCATTCACAGAAGGAGTGACAAATGCCTGAAGTTGTTGTAGCAAGAACTGCAAGTGAGCAGGATCCATTTGAGAAGGATTTGGTGCTGAAACTTGGTCATTAGTCTGAGCAACTGCATTCGCTTTAGGATGATGGTAAGAAGCGGTTTGAGTTTGCTGTTGCAGAGGCCTTGAGTTGTAGTTTTGTTGTCCTCGAGGAGCAAAGCCAGAACCAGTAGGAGCTTGATTCTGAGCAGGCTTTCCATATCGATGGCCAGGAGGATAACCGTGAAGCTTGAAACATTTGTTAACTACATGACCAAGTTGTCCACAGTGAGTACATAAGGGACGTTGTCGAGGACGATAGCCAGCATTGGAGTGAGCAGCCGCAAATGCAGAATGATCAAGAGTATTGTCAGGGACAGAGATAGCATCAGTAGCTGAAGTCTGGAACACAACATTGGATGGTGTAGATGATGGCTTGATAGTCTTTTGCCTCTCATCTTGAGTCACCATATTGAATACATCTTCAATGGAAGGAATAGGTTTAAGCATCAAGATATGACGCCGAGTTGGTTCAAAAGACTCATTAAGCCCCATTAGAAACTTAGTAACTCTGCTTCTCTGATGAAGACGATCCCATAACCCTGCTGCATCACACTCACAACGACCACAAGAACACACAGGAAGTTCTACATAGTTCTTATATT